TCTGCATGACTCGGCACATCTAAGAAGCCACGATCCCCTGAGCTGGAATCAACAGTCATGGCATCATAGTTCAGAGGCTTCTTGACTGAACTGCAGAGCAGAGAGGTGATGGTAGGAGAGCATGAAAGTTAAATAAAACATCCTTTGTCACTAAAATAATACATCATTGTTCAGAAGTCATGTGTAGAGGAGCTGAAGATACATTCAGCATGGTGAAGCATCTTTCAGGAGCTGATGAGCAGAGAAGTGAAAAGAACATCTAGATCAGGGGTGTCGACATCCAGTCCTCGAGGGCCGCAATCCTGCATGTTTTAGATGTTTCCTTCTTCCAACACACCTGATTCAAATGATCAGGATCATTATCAGGCTTCTGCAGAGCTTGATGATGAGCTGATCATTTGAATCAGGTGTGTTGGAAGAAGGAAACATCTAAAACATGCAGGATTGCGGCCCTCGAGGACCGCAGTTTGACACCCCTGATCTAGATTGTGAGATTGTAGATAAGCCAGTGAAATAGCCTCTATGGCAGGGGTGTCCAATCCTGGTCCTCGAGGGCCACAATCCTGCATGTTTTAGATGTTTCCCTTTTCTAACACACCTGATTCGCATGATCAGGATTATTATCAGGCTTCTGCAGAGCTTGATGATGAGCTGATCATTTGAATTGGGTGTGTTGGAAGAAGGAAACATCTAAAACATGCAGGATTGTGGCCCTCGAGGACCAGGATTGGACACCCTTGCTCTATGGCATGTTTTTTTTTCAATATTGGTAACACATGTGGGCACTTGGAGAACTGTTTTACATATTGCTTTAGGTTTTTTTGATTTTTTTAATCCAAGCAATCAAAAAAATTCAACTTTTTTCTTTTCTTCTGAAGGATTTATGGCATTATAAATACATCGTGCTGCAAAGACGACATTTTTTAAAGTTCTTTTTTCGGATTTAACACTGCAGTCGGAAATTAATAGTGAATAAAAATGTGACAGGAACAAACAAACTAAAAGGACAGCCAGAACCTGCTCTGATTAAACCCTCAGCTTTTAGATCTTTCTCATCATCTGGCAGCCAAAATGTTTTCTTTTAGTAAAGACTTACGAATTATTGATTAACCAACAATAAAGCAATTAGCTACAACATAACCCAACATAATGTAATAAAAATGACTGTCTGAGCCCAAAGTCTGCTGCTTTTATGTTATATTTTGGAGCACAAACACAACTTCATGTGTTGCTTTTCATTCGTACGCCTTCTGTATGCAGCTCTTCTGTCACGTTTGAGCTTTTGTTGACCGTTCCCTTTCTTGAAAAGCATTTAATAGACTAATTTTAGTGCAGTCTGGCTAAAAAACTATGTCAAGTGCAACCTCATATGACTAAATGGAAATAACAGTAAAAACAAAAGTGCGTGGCTGTGCCCTGCTCTGCTGCGGGTTTTCCCTTCTGAGCTCAGCAGCCAGTCAGGAGAGACACATGTGGTTGTGGTGGAGGTTTGGCTCCGAGCGTTTTTGGTGTGATCTGGCTGCCGCTTAGTGCAAAATATCCCACCAGCGTGCAAAAGCTCAGGCGGCCGCTCCAGCCTCCACAGAGTCCCAGGGGCAAATTATGAATCTGTAGATATTTGACTGATGCCTCAAGGATGCACAGTTGTGTCATTTTTTTTCTGGGAAAATACAAACGAACACACTCAATCAAGCAGAGTCTAAAATACCATTCAGTCTGCCCCGAAGTCTCATCTAATCACCTCTGAAATTGTGGGAATGTCACTTAATGGCAAGGAAAGCAGTGTTGGAGGCTCTAACACAAGCTGAATTTAATTTGAGAGCTATTAGATTTTAAGATTGAATTTGTGGCCGACTGAACATTTTTACAGTTGCTGCCTGATGAAGCAGAAACTTTCCCTTCAGAATAAGATTAATCCTGGAAATGAATCTGTCATTTGGTTGGAATTAGTCTAAAAAACGCATTATGTCTGTGAAATATAAGCTGTGATTAAATTTACCTCAGAGGACGTTGTCCTGAAGCCTTGAGTAGTGTTGGAGCTCTCCAGTCCTCCTTTGACCTTTTCTTTATGTCTACAGATTTTGTGTCTTTATCTAACCACCTGGGTACATTTAGGATATTGTGTTCCTTTTCTCCACCTCCAGGCCTTTTGGATCTTCAGAACAAATGCTGATTACAGTTTCGTAGCTGTTACGAGAGCACGGCAGCTCCAAAGCTCTGGAATAAAATCTAAGAAATAAACAACAGAAACGGTTCTGGCAGCTCGGAACCAGGAGTTTGCTTTGAGATTTAGAATCAGGAGGAAAAGTTCTTTTTAATAAAGGACATTTTCGGGCGCCCCTATAGCTCACCTGGTTGAGCAGACGACCCATGAACGGAGGCTGTAGTTCCCCTGACATCTCACTCTCTCATTGTCCTGACTAATGAAGGCAAAAGCGCCAGAAAAAATAATCTTTTCAAAAAACAAAAGAACATTTTTTTTTTTTTTATTTGATTGATAACTGTAACAGTACATTTTAACATTCTCCACCTTTTAACAGTGTGCCAGGGATGGCAGTACAGAACGTTTTCCTGCTGTTTATTTAATGGTAAATCTATAATTTTTAAATGGACATTTGCTGTAACTTATTGGCGTATCTGCAGTGAAAATACAACACACTTTTTGCCTTTTAATTTTTTTTTTTACTATTCATAATTTTTCTTACAAATAACTACAAATACACGTCACATAACATTTTTGCTGATTTAAATACAGTGAAGAATTGTGCACATTTATGTTCAAATATTTTTTAACAGATAAAAGGAACGATCATTTATAAAATAATAATAATAATAATAAGAGAGATTTAGGATGTGAACATTGTTTACAGTTTTGATCTGTTTTGTTTTACAGTCATTGTGTAAATTAACACCTTCTGAAGTGATTTTGTAGGATATTAACTGTAATTTAACAACGAGGAACAAAATATGTAAAATAACTGATTAAAACAATTAACAATTGACATTTATAAATCCTAATGTACAGAATTTTTATCTTTTTTTTGATGATTTAAAAACAGTTTTTAAAAACGTGTGGTTTTCAAAGTTTTCCAACATTGGCCTGTTTTTTTTTTTTTTTTTTTAAATTTACCTTTTTTTGTTGTTGTTGCAGTCAACAGACTGCACATATTTTGGTTGCTGCCTGTCTTACATCAGGTACCACTGCAATGTAAAGACAAAAATTAACATTTTTAAAGAAAAACTGTTTAAAAAAAACTGTAAAAAATAGCAGCAAATACCTTTAAAGTAATACATTTTTGATTTATATGCAGCAAAACACAGTCTCACATAAGAACAGAACAAATGATTAGTTGTAGTAACACACATGCTGGATGTGGAGATGATGAACAGCTTCAGCCTGTTTCTCTGACAGTCAACATGTGAGTTAATTAATAATTGTTTTCTGTGATTTTACAATAAATTAAAGGGAAAATCTGTAAAATAAATAAAGTGTTCAAAGAACAACAATTACAAACGTTCAGTTCTTTAATATGATAAATTTAGTTTAATTTCTTTGGAGGAAAATGGATTCAGGGCAATAAAAGAACCTTTAAACATGTAGCAGCCGATCAGTCTGACCACATGGTTTCTGTCTAATCTGATCAGTGAAGCCGGAGCCGCGGATCGATCGGTCTGTCTGCAGCTGCTGTCTGCTCCATCTCCGTCCGTCCATCCATCCATCCATCCGTCCATCCATCCATCCATCCATCCATCCATCCATCCATCCATCCACTGTTTGTCTTCCCGGCGGGAGTCCGCGTCGTCAGCATGAGCGCAGAGGACAGAAATGTTGTGAATGGAGGCGGAATGACGCTGCAGAGACGCGCCGCAGGAGTCCAGGTATCATCTGTTATCTGTTAGAGGAGGAGGAGAGTCACCGTCCACCGTCAAGTTACCGGGAAGCAGCGCCGGCAGCAGCACCGGTCCACACTGTTAAAGTGCGTTTCCCCCAACCAGCGAGCGTCTCGTAAATCAGTGTTGAGTGAAGCCACAGACGTTCTTTACATTCAGATTCAAGGCTCAAGGTTGTAGTATGGAGACAAAGGTTGAGGATGGGTGCAGACTGAGAGTTAAGGTGATGTCAGTGTCACAACAATGAACCGTCTGCACAAGAACTTCTGGAGAACATTAAAGAAACCTTCCAGTGTCATATAATAAGGCTGGAGATTTAACTCAGAAATACACATTTGCTGTTTTAGCTTGATGAGATTTAGTAAAAAGCAACTATTTGGTTCTTGCAGATCATTTAACGTGGACAGTTTTGGCTGGTTTGTTTTTACAGTTAACATGCTCAGACTTTTAAAGTTGGATTTTATTAGATGATTATCTGTAATTTCACAAAACTGTTAAAAATCTGTAAAATATTAGAAAATTGTTCTAAAATTTACACTCAAAAACTTTTATTTCTCACAGTGCAGATACAATAAACTTGATTTTGTAACTTTATCAGGAGGTTTCTACAATTCTACAATTTAATTTTTGGACAAAAAAGTGATCTGAATGCATAAAAACAGCTGCGTTAGTCTAAACATATGATCCCTTTTTTTTTAATCTCCTCAGTAAACTCAGAGAAGCTGATCAGCTGCAAGAACCAAAAAGTTAAAGATGTTTAGCCTGATATGTTCACATCTGCAACCACATAGTTGCTTAAAATGTTTCCACAAAACCCAGAAAGAGAAGTCCAGTTTTACAAAAACTTCCTCCACCATCATCACCTGCACTGACGTTTCTTTCTCAAAATGTAGTTTTCTAACCATTTAAACAGGCGTCTTGGCTCCATCTTGTTCATTCCGTGGCTCTTTTGTATCTGTGTGATTCAGACTAAGGAGGAAGCAGCCTGAGGTTCTGGCTGGGGGGAGGTTGGGCTGTGTGCAGAGAAATCGCCGCGCAGCTTTTATTTTGAAAGCAGGCTGTATTTATGCTGCGACTTGAAATTGACTGGAAGGAGCTGCAGGCCAGCCTGTTGCGCACTTGGCGGCACGCACAGACGGCGCACCGCAGCTCCGTGGATGGACGGAGCCACTAATGGACTTCTGCTAATTACATTTAGAGGCGCGTCTACGGCTGGATTCCTATCTGATCCTATCTTATCCCCCAATTTCACACGGGCTCCTTTCCAGCGCCGCATCTGAGCAGATCCAGACTTTTACGCAGCGTGGAGCGCTGCGCCAAGGGACGCTCGAGGTGCGTGTGTACATACGTGTTTGCTTATTTTTTTTTATTTGGGAGGAAGGATATTGAGGACAAGTCCTGTTTGAGGATCCGGACTTGGTTTTGGGGCTTAAGGTTAAAATTAAATGTGGTGATTCAGGTCAGATTAAGAGTCCAGGCACTGCCAATGTTGCGTTGTTCACGCGAAGTTTGACCATTTATGCGCTCTTGGGTACAAAACAGCTCGTTCTTCATGCACAGGTGTGTCTGTGTGACTCCGTGTCCCAGCATGTGCTCGTGCGCGCAGCTGTGCCTTTTATTCCTCCAGGAACACTTTCACTTTCGTCAGGTGTGTAAAATGTGTAACCTATTGCTCAAGCGGCTCGTCCCTTTTGGCAGAGCAGAGCGACAGTATTGGCCCCGCTGACAGAACTCCACGGCTCAGGCTGCATGCGGTTATGCAACCGGTAGCAAAAAAAGTTTGGAGCAGATCACGGACTCTAGGTGTGACTTATTGATCTCAGATGGGTGATCACCAGAGGAGCGCAGCCAGGCTGAATAAAGAGTTCCAACACGGCAGCAGCCTGAGTGAAAAACTGGCACAAGTTCCGAATGAAAAAGAAGTTAGGCTCCGACTTACTGGTATCCCCACGAGGTCTGCTGTAAATCTACTGGAAACTGGAGGGTTCTTTAAAATAACTGGAAGTACTTCAGGCACTTAGCACGTGTCCAACATGCTCCTCTGACCCCCTTTTTTTTGTAATCCGGCTGAATGAATGTTTTTCTTGGCCAGTGCAACTGAAATAAGTGGTTTTGCTTTATTGTTTGCTTTGCTCCAGCGCACTGTGACCGTCAGCCTGCAGGGCCTCCGGCTGCTGCTGCTGCTGCTGCTGCTGCAGGCTGTGCAGTAGCTGCAGATGTCTTCTAACATTTGATCAGTTTACAGGCTTTCTGCCACCTGCAGCTACTGAGGCTGACTTTACATTTGCAACCAGAGATTTTTCTTTAGCCCAGTAGTTTTTTGTTTTGTTTTTGAGAGATGTGGAGAAAATGTAGGATGAAAAAAAAACCTCCAAACATAGAACAGAGAGACAGAAGAGAAAAGCTGTGGTGAGTCAACATCAAGCAATGTGTGTGTGTGTGCTGCTCTTCGGTCTTTGTGAGGACCAGTCTGAGGCTGATGATTCCTTTTGCTCACATTCTGACAGATATGTAGTTTTTTTTTTCCAGGGTCAATGCCAATAATGAGGATGTTTGGATCTGATGCACATTTGCAGAAAAAATGAAAATCTTGATGTTAGAATTTAGAATAACACAAACTAACCAAACTTTTTACATGTGTTCAGTTATAAGACACCTCTTGAGTGTGCTTTTCATCTTTTACCTGCTTTAGCATTTCTTATCTTTTTTTTTGACTTGTGAATTTGCCCAGTTTTACTTGTGACATGCAGCCAATCAGGTGGCGCTGTGGGCGGGACATTGTTGAGATCACAGAGTGGTTGCTATAGATAGAGATGTGGCTGTATCAGAGCCAAAGTAGCACACTTTAAAATATATTATTTCATCAAAAATCAGTTAAAAAATACTGATAATTAATTTAAAAAATGGTGAATACCGATTCTGATAATCAGTCAGGCAGCGAATTGGGTTTCGCATCTTCACCGGTTGTAGAGTTGGGATGAGGTTTAATGTTGGATAATGTGAAGGTGGAGGATAAATCCTCAAAGCTCAGACTGTTCAACAGATAAGATGAAGGACAGGAAGAGAATAGAGAAGTTTCTGAGGGAACCCTGAATGCAGCTTTTGTATCTCATTACTTGTTTAGGTTTAAAGGTTTCAAAGTTCAGGTTTTGTGTCTACAGTAGTGGAGAGCAGCCGATCATATGTTCATATCTGCAACACAGCATCAGAAGAAGTAATAATAAAAGAAATGCTCAGATTTGACCCTCAGAATCAGGAAAGAAATGTCCAATTATCTCAGATTTTTAAATAATTTGTTGATATTATTGACCTTGTGTATGTCTCCTAGCTCAAGTCTCTGTGCCACGTCTTTCCAAATTAACCGTTTTTTACTTTTAGGTATTGAGAAATTCACACAAGTTCGAGGTCATGGCCCATCGCCACCTCGTGTTAATGTTTCAACCGGGTGTCAGTATGTCAGTTAAAATATAAAGAAACAACCGAAAACTCACTTTATTAGCCGTCAAAGTTGCTTTTCTGCTTCACTTCAGAGGAAACCTTTTACATGCACAGTTTATTTTATTAACAAAATCTAATTAACCTTTGGCTGCAGAGTTAAACATTTATTTTAAAAAAAAAGAGAGAAAAAAAGGCTTTCTAAGCCCTCAGTGACCCTCTCTAAGCTGCTGTAATTAACCCGCCTGCACTCTCACAGGAATGACATGAAAAAAAAGGGAAGCTTGTCTTGTAAAAGTGTAATGAATCACTTTATGTCTGGGCTACAGTCTTTATTTCTGGCTTTAGTCTCCCCGCAGCATGCTATAATTACAACCTACACACTGTTCTGTCCATTTTTACTTGCTGTGAAACCAGCAGTGGGGTTCAGTCATTTGTTGATCCTTGCAGCAACATGCTGGCCGTCTGCCACCGTGACTTCACCGCTGCATATTTAAGCAGCAGGGAAGTGGCTGAGTTGGCCGGTTGCTCGCTGAGGTGTGATGTGCAGCTGTGGAGCGCTGCATCACCACACCGATAGAGAGACGGGCCGGAAGATAGAGACAGACGGGGAGGAACGAAAGCGAGAGGTCGAGAAGGGCAGGAGGAAAGAATGACTCACGGTTCAAGCTGTTTATTGTCTCGATAAATACTGCATATGAAGCCAAGAAAACAATTTAGCGTGTTTTCAGTTACACTGTAAAGAAAAGTCCTGTTAAAAAATGGTGACAATGAGGCAACGAGGGAGTCAGAAAAAATCTGTTAAAAAAAAGTAGTGGAATACTGTAACGTTACAAAACTGTGAAAATGGTAGAAAAAATGCAAATATCAATAAAATAATCATATTTTTTAACATATTTAAATCCAGTAAAATGGTGAGATTTTATGTTTAAACGCTGTAAAAGAATGAGTTATCGTTTGTAAAAACATTTTTTTCCTTGTTAACATAAAAATTAGTTCTTTTTTTCACTGTTATTTCACTTGACTTTATCTGAAATTGACCTAAATAGGAAGAATCCGTGAAATAACTGTTAAAAATTAGCTAATATGTGTCATTTTTCTATAAAATAATGGCTAATATCTGTAAAAATGATGTTTCTGCCTAAATAAATGCAGTATAAAATGAAATTTTGTGGTCAAATCCTGTACATGGACAAATTACCATTTCTAAAAATACAGATTATTGACGTGGATATTATGTAAAATTTGGACTGTTTTCCAGTGTCAACATGTAAATTTAAATTTTTTTCCCCCCTCAATAACTTTATCGGCTATTATCTGTAATTTACCTAAACAGGAAAAATCTGTAAAATCAAAATGATTTAACATATAGAATTTTTCTTCAACATATTGGCAAATATCTGTAAAATAATTCGATTTTTTCTGATTCAAACGCAGTAAAAATTGTATGAATTTATGGTTAAGTGTTTTAAATAAACAAATGTTTAATAAATGAACTATTTGTGAAAATACAGATTTGTGATGTAGACGTTAAAAACAATTTTGTTAATTTTTTTTAGGGTTAACATATGAATGACAATTTTTTTTTCTGCGATTTTACGAGTTATGTGTAATTACATTTTTTTTTTTAAAAACATGGGGAAATCTATAAAATAACTATTAAACGTGACTGAACATTTTCAATCCTTAATATTTATGATGTTTTTTAAAGTAACACATTTCTGTAAAATTAATATTCATTTACGATTTAAACAGCAAAAAAATGGTGTAAATTTACAGTCAAATATGCAAATTAATAAATTAGCATTTAGAAAACACTTAAAAATGATTAAAAAACTTACTTTTTTTTTTTTTAGTGTACCTACGGATTTCATAGTTGTTGCCTTCAGTTTGTTATTTTAGTGTTCCTAACAGATCAGTGACATCCTCCACTGATTACACAGATTAGGATGTGTGTTTTCTCCCAAAACATCCTGAGCTTTACCAGAGTTTACAGAAAGCAGGCAGCGAGTGTCTCTGAATCAGATCACGCTGTCTCACTTTCCAATATTCTGCCTTACAAAGATTGGAAACAGCTTTGTAGCGTAAACACGACACTCCAGTAGAACAACAGAACAACCACAGGCCCCTGAAGGACCATTAGCTGAGCTCCGTCTCTCCGGCAGCGTGAACTATATTCACTGGACTTTTATCCTCATTGTCTTCCTCCTTTATGTTTCTTCTGCTGCTTCCTGTGAAGTTGAATTGTGTCTGTATTAGGAGTACATTGGCTACTTATACTGCGTTTTGTATATGATGATGGTTTCCAGAGTCCAGAGCTGTGGTAGTTCAGCTGGGTTTCTCATTAATATCTAATTAAATATTAGTGCTAGCCATAAACTGTATATAAAAGATGGATGAAGCAACAGTGCCTCCATGTATTGCTTCATAAACAACCGTTTTACAGCCTCAAGTTTGGTATTTTGCTGTCGCCATCTTGCTTCTTTGAAACCAGGCGTGTGGAAACTACAGCTGCCTTTAAACCTGCTTTATCGTCCATTTTACTCTAAATGGAGCCGTAATTTACTAAATAAACACCATGCCGTATTGAAGGAGACTTTAAACCACTGATTGAGACCATAAACTCATTTGGTTAATGTTTATTGTGGTGATAAATCAAGAGAGAAGTCGGGTAATTTTCTCTGTACAATCTGACTTTTTCAACCAGAGGAGGCGCCCCCTGCTGGCCGGTAGAAAGAATGCAGCTTTGAGCCACTTTGCTTCGCTTTTCAGATCCAGCGGCTTCATCCTATTTTTGCAAAGTCTGTAGCTTTGTCAGAGGTTACAGGTGACCCACAGAGCTCCTTCTAATCCACTGTGTTGATAAGATGTGCGTCAACTCTGCAATAATGCTGCAA